TGCAGGTGGGCTGGTGCCTATTTCCAGCAGTCACTGGGCAAGAATATGCCAGAAAATCCCAGAGAAACACAGAGACGCATGAGACAAACAAGCATGCATACAAGCACTGTCACTCTTGTGTTTTTTGACTGTAGGAGGAAGATGCGGGATCCAGAGAGAACCCATGCATGCTAACTTCATGACGAAAGACTAGGCTAGTATTTCAACCAAAGAAAGAAAGCAACAAAAGAAATTATGAATTTATTTGGCAGGTGTTTTTACACTCCCTGTAATGCTCTACTGACTCTGCATGCCTAGCTAGACTAATTTCATTATTTTGAAGTTGCTCAGTATTTTTCCTTTAAACCATGAAAAACACAAAGCAGCAAGAGCATACATGCATGCACATAGATGACTATATTTAATGTGGTGATGCATTTCTTAGTGTAAGTACTGCTTGATAAAAACACTGTGCTTCTTTCTATAAATAAAATATAGAACATCACACGTTTAGCACAAGCGATCTCTCACTCTTCTTTTCCCCTTCATTGTGTTGTTGTTGGGATGAGGGAGAGACAGGAAGAGGGAGAGAGGACATTCTTACTTAATTGGGATCTTGAGCGCATTTGTTTTCAATAAAGATGTTTGCTTTGTTTGCATTCTCTTGCTCACTTTTTTCAGCTTTCAACCTCTCTGTTTCTTCTTCTCTTCACGCCTAGCTTGAGATGACTGACAGCAGACTGTTCACCATCCACCAACACTCTGAATGAGCTCGCTGGCAAACTCCGGTACTCAGAATTTAATTCAAGAATTCATCAAAATATGGATTTTGAATAGTGTTGATGCAGCAGCAGGAAGATGCGAGTACAATTTGAAAATTATTCCTGTGAAGCACGTTTTTATATATCGCTCCATTAAGCATGACGGTGAATAAGATAAAAAAAAAAAAAAAAAATCAGAATCAGTTTTTTAAGTTGCCACATTTCTGCTTTGAACTATAATCCACCTGCAAATCATAAATAGACGAATGAACTCAGCAAGGTTTTTTTTTTCCCGCTTCTCCTCGTGGCAGCTAGCCAGTGGACCAGCCTTGTAGGGTGTGAAGGGCCCCGCCAGAGGTCAAAGAGGGTGATAGGCAGATGAAGTCATTCCTGGATCAATGCCCGAGCGACTAATACTCGTGCTTCCTAATGAAGCACGTCATCTCCTTCCTCCATGCGGCCATGGAGGAGCACTGGATACCAATCAACAGTCACATACAAGGAAACTTTCAAAACCTTTGGAGCCACAAGGTACATATTCAGAAATCTGGTTGCAGTTGCAAATACATTGGGTTTTCCTACTAATCCTAGCAGAAAAGTACAAAAATTTGTGTTTGGGTTGTCGTTTTTCTTGAGCTAACTCTGCTTCTTGGCAACAAGTCCAATGCAGTTGGAAATCCAATTTATTTGCCACTGAATGGTGCTACATTTGTAAGGAAAACTCATTTGTGGGTAGAGCAGCAGTGCTGAGTATGTGGGTTGTGCCCATAAAAAACTTGCTAAATCCTCTCTGCCGGTGCCAAACACTTTTGGTGGAGGCATTGTGGGGTGGTATCTCCCTCAGAGGAAAAGCAAGGCTTGTCCTCATTTAAGACTATCTCTGTGTAGGGATTAAAACTCTATCCTCCATGCTATCAGTGCTCACAAAGCAAGGCTTATCAGTGACAACCAGTGCCGACGCAACGCCCACAAGGACAAAGCACTGCACTAAGGGAACCAAGAGTCTGGGGAGGGCACCAAAAAAAAAAAAAAAAACCCAGGGTGGTGAAAAACCATAGTTATAATAATCATAGCAATATACTTAAAATAAAACTGGGTAAAGCATGCCATGATACATAAGCAGTACAAAACTAATGTACCCAAGAAAAAGATGAATTGAGGGCACCTGATTGGCTAGCTCTGGCCCTGGAAATGACATCTAAAATTTGGGAGTGGACATTTCAGGAGGACTGCCTGCCTCAACCCCACTATCGATGTGTCAGCACACATTAAAGATGATGTGATGTTCTGTTCTGAGCCAGAACAGATCACTGGACTAAAGTCATGGACTGCTCACTGCCAAGTCTTGGAACACTGGCTGAAATGTTGCTATTGCAGACTGATAAATAGAAAATAATAGAATATTTTACAAGAAGAGAATCCAGCACCACCAATGTGTTTGGCAGTTTGTTTCCTCCAAAATATTATTGAAATAAACCTATCTGTTCAGGTGAATTACTATTAGATAAATATTATTTAGTTTACACTGTTTTTGTTAAGTTACATGTTAAGAGTTTTTGTAAAAAAGTCACTGTCTGCTTGTGTTTTGTGGGGTACTGAAGGAGGGGCTCACCCAGGCACAGTTCATGCAATGTGACAATATAGCTAATGTGTAATATTTGTTACTGACTTTTTGTGCTATATGTTCAGCCAGCTATGATATCAGTTAATGACACAATAATAATGATAATAAGGAACCTTAGGCAATAAGATTTATTATTGATTCCTTATAAGATTTTAAGAGGATGAGGTTTTAATAAGTCTAATTGTTAATCAATTTTATTATTTTTTTTTTTCCTGGCTCAAGTAATTTATATTAGCCCATAACTGTTAATGAAAAAAAAACAAAACACAGAAAATCCTTATGTTTGGTCAAGGGTGTGTTGGCATCACATGTGCACACGTGTTTCATTAGTTCACACAGATGCTCGCAATATAATCTTCCAGAGCAATTTTACAGGCATATCTTTGCTGCCTTTACACTACAGAGCTCAAAGAAGATAACCATTTTCCACAATGACCCACGGCACTTTTATTGAGCCCTACGGCGTTGTACTGTCAGGAAAACAACATGTATACGTCTGGCACACAGATATGGTCCAGGAGTTATGACTCTTGTTTCCAGTAATGTCTTACCCCACAAAGTCAAACTTCAGTTCATTGTCATTAGGGGGCATTGCAGCATGGCTTAGTTTTTGTTGTAAAGCATTGTCTCACTCATGAGCGGGGCCATTAAAATATTTTTGTACAGTATACATTTTTATAAATTTATGGAGAACTGCTGTAGCAAGCTCCTTTTAAATTTCGATGTAGTTTATGTCAATATTCTCACCAACCTGGTGATACTGCAATCTTATAAATAAGAAAACTTTTATAGCTTCAACAAAAAACAGCATTTTTATCTGTTTTATTAGAAATAGTATTTTTTCGAGCACTACATTAAAGCTCTCTGGGTGAATCTTATGTTTAGTGTTTGCAGCTTAAGCTTAATTTTCAGACCCACATACAAACCCTAGGTGAGAAATTGTTCTTAGAAATGAATGGTTGAGGAAAGTCCACAAGAATCCAGAGATGAGTGGCTTGAATGTGGTATATGATATGTTGTGGCTTGTAATTTCTCATAGCAGTTGTTTTTTCCCCCCAGACTTCATACCTGGAGAGCAAAGTAGAGCGGGCAAGCAGATTTTCAGCTCAAGATAGGTGCTGCAAGGGATGATTTTGAAAGCAGGTAAAATACAAGTTTACTTGAAGGAGGAAGTGACTCTGTCTTAGGAGACAGATACATTAATGTAAGAAAACTTAAGAAGCAGAAAACATGTAAGAGAAGTTTTGCATAAATAAGTAAAAAAAAAATTAAAAATTGCTCACCCACTTTGATCAAGCATTAAAAAATGATTACTTGATAGTCCCTTATTTTCACAGCTGCTTAATCAGAAGGAAATTTCTAGAATTTTTTTTTGGAGAAATACATTCCTGGATTTAAGTGCAACACACACCTGTAGTTTCAGCATCATCTCAAAAAACATGTCCCTATTTTTTTTATATGAAACCACTCACCGGCAGCAGGTCAACACTGTAAGGCGTGGCTCTGGTGGTCCTGTTCAAATCAACTCTGTTTACGCAAATGCCAATGGATTTCAGTTCCTGCAGCTGTTCTTCTGTGCTACCAGAGGGTAGTTCTTCTTCTATTGTTGTATTGTAGAAGCAAATTCTGGTGAGGAAAAAAAAAAATCAAAATGGGAAAGATTAATTATTGAATTTATCACACAATTTCAAACATCAATGGTGCTACCACAACGATACAGATGTCACTCTAAAGTTGATGAAAGAAGGAAAAAAAGAAGAAAAAGTGAGTACATAGTATACAGTCTATTGGTTTAGAGATTGAAATTGTTAAAAGGGCTTAAGAGTTCTTTATATAGGTCAGCTTCACTACATTTTAGATTTGCCCAACCATACAGGATTCTACATGCACAGTTGCTCCATGGGCTCCACACATTGGGCATATATCCTGAATGTACAATAAATTGTTTATATTCCTGATTGGGAACTCTGAAAATTTGACATTTGAGAACAAAAAGAGAAGGCAACCATCACTGGAAATGCAAATGAGCAATAGAAAACCCCTTTCTGTGCAAATATATATTTTTTTCCTATTTTTTCCTCTGAAATGACTATTTTTCTGTTTCTTTCTTTCTTTATTTTTGTCATTTTTACATGGCATGCCGCAGGCCATGCTGCCCTGAGGGGAGAGCCACATCACTCATATCAAACTGACTACTGCTAAAAATACCTACTAAAGGATAGCTCAAGTACAACCAGTGGCACTTAGCCACAGTTTTATAACCAAAGGGTATCGGGCCTCCCCTTGAACCACTGTAATCTGACGACCAACAACCATAATGGTTAAGGCAGTGAGGGGTGGGGAGTTAAAAACTTCACTTCTGACATTCCTCAGCTCTCCTCCGACGTACAGGTCCGGGACTTCTCCTCTGACTTGAGATCTCCTCCAGTGGAAATGCTTCCCTCCTCCTGCAACGGACCGCTGTGCAGAAACTTGACCGCACCGAGAGGTTCCGCTCTCGGAGAACCCCACCGTCCCCACCCCCTGAAGTCGGAGATGCACACACGAGGTCCATCCACCTGGGTGGTCTCTCTACTTTAGTGAGCTGTTGCTAAGCAGCTAATAATAGTCGTGTTTGCTGAGTAATTTTTGCCCTTCTGGAACCAATCAGATGCAAGAAAGTCCTGCGATCTGACAGCCCCAAAGGCGGGATCTAGAGTCTTTTTTTTCTCACCCCTCCTCCTTTCTCTGCCTCCAAACGGAGAGAGGTCTTTTTCTCCCTCTTCTATTGAATCTCAGAGTTGGCCGTGACGCGCGGCCCAGGGGAAGACCACATAGATCTCAGCAGAATGCTGCGACCATCGAGCTTTCATACGCGACCACTTGTGTGTGGGAATCCCTTTGCGCGCCTCGCTTTTTGAGAGAAACTTTCTGTTTTTTTTGTTCTTTTTCTTTTCTTTTCTTTTTTCCCCCCCTTTTCATTTTTTTTTCTTTTTTAAGAGACAAGGTGAAAGCGGTGAGAGCGGCGGAGACCTCCGGATCACGAAATGTTGGGATGGAAGGCGCAGACTTTGACTCGCCGTCTCCAACAGGAGTATGAAGTCCCACTTCACGGGTGTGAGGTCTCCACGAGTGAAACTCTGTCGCCTCGGGATATCGCTACACGCTTTCGGGGAAATACTATAAAGTGGGAAACGGTAACCAACTCGCAGTCCCCGCAACATGGCCTCGGCTGCTAATGCGCCCTTCGAGCAGGAAAACAGAGACCCCGATCGGCCGAGGATAACGTGGAGGAACAGGGGGGACTATACCCGCGGCACACCGCTGGATTTGGAGTATTTGCAGCGGCCGAGTTACTGCGATGCGGGCTTCGCTCTGGAGCAAATATCAGAGGTGCTTATGTCTCATGTTTCACTACAGGAGAGCTGCGTGGTGCCTGTTTCATTGTATTTACTGGAGGGGGTAAAGTGGCCAAACTTTGTGTCCAGTCGCTACTAGGTAACAAGACGTGCTTGAAAGCATGGACATGAGAACGGGGGGGGGGGGGGGGGGGGTTTTTTTTTTTTCAAAACTAAGTAAAAAAAAATTTTTTTTTTTTTTAGAA